AATTTGTAAGTCTCCCCAGTCAAAGGGAGACCCACATCCTGTAACAGGCAAACTCTCAGCTGCTGGTCCCTTTATTCTTGTGATTAACGTTTGCCTTTTGCTAAAGCAAAAATCCTTTTCCCCTTGCTTCTTTTCTTTATGCTCTCCTTTTTATTCACCTCAGCCCTATGCCTCCAGAAGGGACACCTTCCTTAGCTCTCCCATTCTGTTATACCCACTGGATCATCCACTCTATCATTTTTTCTAGATAATTTAATCATTTTATTAATAAGGCCAGCATGTTATTAATGAAAGGATGGTCATTTGGCAGTCTCTCTTAGATCAAAGACAATCATGGCAGCAGGCTCACAGTTTATATATCCTTCAAAGAGCAGGTGTTGGATGGGGGTCTGAGGGTGACATCCTGTCACCCTTGGACGGAGAAACTATCTCTATACTCAAACCACCCCAGCCTTGGGTGAGCTAGACAAAAGGATCAATCTCCACTGAAGCTTCAGCTGAACCCAATGGGCTTCCCCACCTTAGATTAAATTCCTTGTAAGGTTCATTTACTCTATTGTTAACAAATCCCCCTTCACTTGGCTCTCTTCCCTTCACACTAAAAAAAAAAACCCAACACAACTTCTAAAAATTTTTAAAAAATCTTTTGGTACTCATAGGATTCTGTCTCATTCTGTAAGACAGAACAGCCTTTCCAGCACCTTCTTTCATGCCCTCTGACAAAAGAGGAATCCCTACCTCACTGACACTTCCAGATGGTTCCTTTAACATCACCACTCAGCATGCTGTCTTCCTTTGAAGTCTCCGCTATCTACCTATATAATTAAATATATCCCAAGTTAAGATGTCTGTTACTGCAGCACTCCAAGTCATTCTACCTCCTATATCAAGATCAGTATATGGCTCAGTATTCTCCTCAGGGGCAGCTAGGTGGCGCAGCGGATAGAGTGCTAGCCCTGGCGTCAGGAGTACCCGAGTTCAAATACATCCTCAGCCACTACTAACTCTATCATCCCGGGCAAGTCACTTAATCCTGTTTAACTCAGTTTTCTCATTGTAAAATGAGCTGGAGAAGGAAATGTCAAAACTAATATAGTATCTTTGCCAAGAAAACCCTAAATAAGGTCATGAAGAATCAGACTAGTTGACTAAACAGCAACTTCTCAACCACAATATCTTTCTTGAAGACTTTAATACAAACATAGATGTCTCCTTGAACACACTAGCATCCAAATTTATAAAATCTTTCAATTTCCATGACATACCTATAACCTAGATGGATGATGATACTCTTGATACTGGTGACTGTGGTATCACAATGATGAGAACTCTCTAAATCCTCCTGATCATAACCTGTTGTCATTCCATTTCCATTTCCTCCTCACGTTTCCTAAGCCTATTGTTCATACTCACAATGACCAATTATTCCTCCACCACTACCTGTTCTCCAAGTACAACACCCCTTTACTACCTTCCCTTCACAGCCTGGACTTAAGAGTTATACTAGTGCAACACCACACCTTTCTCTTCCTCTGGATCGCATTTCCTCCACCACCTTCTCCCAATACCAATTACTCTTTGTCAAACTCCAACCCTAGGTTACCATTGTAACCTCAATAAGCCTTCTTCACCCCTACTTACATAATGCCTAATTCTGCTGAAAAAGATCACATAATTGTTTTGATTTAATCTACTATAATTATATTATTCAATTTCAACAGACCCTCTCACTTCTATTTATCAATCAATTTGTTCTTCCATTATTGACTCTCTATTGCACTTTCTACACTGGCTATTCCCAACCCTCTCTTCCTTCCTCAAATCTCCTAACTACACCTGGCTCAGCAGAGGACTTCTCTTACTATTTTACTGAGAAAATAGGAGTCATTTCCCCCTTTTGCTCTATCCTAAAGAACAAAATTTCTCTGCATTGTTTCCCATTCTCTCACCTTTGTTTCTGTCTCTGAGGAAGAATGGTGTTTGAGAGAGAGAGAGAAAGAGCAAGAGACAGAGAGAGGGAGAGAGAGAGAGAGAGAGAGAGAGAAGAGGAAAGGGTGAGGGGAAGATCCTACTGTGTGCCAATCATTGTTCTAGGTGCTAGAGATACCATGGCAAAAACAAATGTTGCCCTCAAGACATTTGCATTTTCACAGGGAAGCATATATATATGTATATATACATGTTAAAAAGATACAACATAAAATAAAGCAGGAGAGGCTAGCATTTGGGGGGACAAGAAGGGTATCAGGTAGAAGATGGCACTTGACTTTATTCAAGATCAAAAGTCTTAAAATATTTGCAAGTAGAAGTATCATAGCAAATGAGATCATTCATATCCTGAAGTGATTTGTAACTCTTGAAAAACTTACCAAAGGGACCAGGTGAGGTATGGACAAGAAGTAGGGAGCAGGTTTACTGGGGTCAATAAAAGATTTGAGAATGTAACTAATAAGGAATGAGTATAAGCAGATGGAAGTGGGAAGAAAAGGGTCCTGGAAGCCCCAATTGAGAAGTCTACAAGACTCTAATTCAATGGGTCTTATGTCCAACTCTACCAGGCCCACTCATTCTCCATTTTCTGTCTTCCCTCTCCTTGAGAAATACATTCTGGGGAAACTGTTTACTTTTACACACAAAGTGCTCAAGAAGAGATTTTACTCAATCTGCCAGACTAAGGGATGCTGGACCCCTGGAGAAATGGAGACAGTGTCTATACTTCAGAAGGTCTGGATCTTCCTGCTCCCTGCATTAAATTCTTGAAACCAACTGAAGGGAGCTTTGCCCTTAGTTCCACCATTGGACAGCGGCAAGGCAGTGGAAGGGGAAAAAGTGGAGATTAGGTGACAATGATATGACTGTCAGATATCTGGTGCCAAAGAAATGTGAACTGAGTGGTTTTCATAAAAAAAACTGAATGGACAGGTAAGTGAGGAAGGTTAAGGTGATTCACAGTTGGGCAGGGAAAGAATGAAAAAACATAAGGCCAAGAATCATTTCATTTCCTTGACATAAAGAGAAGAAACTATATAAAAACCTCATAACATACCCAGGATTCATCAACAGACTTGACTATTTTGAGAACCTACCTTTCTCTGAGCACCAGGTAAGCCTCTTTATTTCATATCTCTTCTCAATAACTCACTATGCAGGGCATGCTAGAATCATAGACTTCCATTATAGAGATGATGAATTTTGAGGTCCAGAGGGGAAATGACTTGCCCAAAATCACACAGCAAAGGCAGGACTAGAATTTAGATTGCTTCATTTCTGACCAGAAATTTTAAGCATCATTGGCCATTTCATTGTTCTCTGTTTGAAAAAAAAAAATACAAAATGGCCAATGTTGCCTTATCTGACATGGCATCCATTTAGGGTATTTCATAGAATCTTGGAATGCCAAGACTGGAAGACACTCTCAAGATCAGATATGTATATTAGATACCTTTGATATTATCTATATTTATATATACACATGTGTGACTTCACTTATATAGTATCTGTTTACTTAAAATATACATATGTTTGTGTGTATATATACACACGTACATACATATACACATATTTCCACATATATGCCAAAATAATAGATGCTTAATAAATTTTTGTTGACCTGGGGCCATTATAGCCACCTTCAAGTATTTTAAGGGTTCTCACATGGAAAGAGGTTCATACTTCTTTGCTTCAGTCCCAGAAAGCAGAACTAGGAGTAGTGGATATCTGCAGGTTGCAAAGAGACAGATTTAGGCTTGATGTAAAGGGAAAAAATTTCTAACAACTAGATTTATCACAAAGTGGAGCAGGCTGTCAATGGGCTTGGGGGTTCCCTCTCAGAGGCTGTCTTTAGTCAAGGAATGGATGATCACTTATGAAGTATACTATACTTGTTGTTGAGTTGTGTCTGATTCTTCATGACCCCATTTGGGGTTTTCTTGGCAAAGATACTGTAGTGGTTTGCCATTTCCTTTTTCAGATGAGGAAATTGAGGCAAACAGGGTTAAGTAACTTCCCCAGGGTCACACAACTAGTAAGTATCTGAGGCTGAATTTGAACTTAGGTCCTCCTGACGCCTGGCCCGACACTTTATCCACTGTACCACCCGGCTGCCCTAGGTATATGGGGGAGGGGATTGTTCTTCAGGCATGGCTAAGACTGGATAGTGTCTGAAGTTCCTATGGATTCTGGGATTCTGTAATCCTGAACTAACCTAAGGTCAAATCCTTTTGTTTAGCACATGAGGAAAGGAAGTAGTATCCAGAGAGTTAAATTACTTGCCCAAGGTCACATATCTGGTTAATAGTAGAGCTTGTCTCTGGAATCTTAATGCTTTTTTTACTCCCTTCCCCCACAATACATTACCCTCCTAAAAACTTTATAAAAATTCATTTGGGTATTCAAAATAGGATGATCATCTATAAACACAGAGTCTTTAATGTGTGGTTTTAATGGCATTTCTGACATATTTCATTTCCAAATGACCTTCCAATTGTTTTACAATCATCTGAGAAACATGCCTTTCACACATGTGACATAAAACCTTAGTTTCCTCATATGTAATGTGAAGGTTGGATGTGATCATCTCCAATGGTCTTTCCAACTTTAAATCCAAAGACCTGAGGAGGACATGGAGAAAGAAAGAAACAGAGTAAGAGACTGAAATCTCAAGAAGAGGGACAGGGAAGGAGAGAGAAAGAAGGGGAGAGGTGCAGAGACAAAGAGGTGAATCTGACATTGGCACTGGGAGTTTTAGGAGAAACTCTGCTTAGACATGAGCAAGACTAGGAGAGAAGAGAATCCAAAGAATCAAGGGAAACAAATGACTATAATCCTGTTTTCCAACTTACATTCTGGGCACATTTCATTATGAAAGAGAGACGGGCAAGAAGAACAAGAAGGAAGATAGGGAGAATCCTGGAAGTGTTCATGAAGTCCTACTTCTTTAGCAGGGGTCCTGGCTATTCCTCATTTGATAATAAAACGACTAACTGTCCTTTCTTCTCCAGGTACAACCACATCACACAACCATGTCTTATCATCAGCAGAAGCAACCCAACATCATACCTCCTCAGCTTCAGCAGCATCAGGTGAAACAGCCCTGTCAACCACCTCCTCAGGAGCCTTGCCACCCCAGGGCCCCAGAACCAGGCACCACCAAGTTGCCACAGCCAAGCTACCCTGAGGTCCCAGTGCCAAGCCAACCAAAGGTCCCAGGGCCAGGTACCACCAAGTTGCCAGAGCCATGCTATCCTGAAGTCCCAGTGCCAAGCCAACCAAAAGTCCCAGGGCCAGGCACCACCAAGTTGCCAGAGCCATGCTATCCTGAGGTCCCAGTGCCAAGCCAACCAAAGGTCCCAGGGCCAGGCACCACCAAGATTCCAGGGTCCTATCCCATCACGGTTACTCCACCTATTGCTCAAGACAAGTACCCACAGGTCCCAAAGACCAAACAGAAGTAAGATGACCCAAGATCTCATCCTCGCCCTCCATGGAACAAACTTCTGATTGCTGAAACTCCCTTGTCATCTGCTGTCAAGACTTAATGCCTGTGAATCTTCCTTGGTGATTTTGAGCCTGTAGTTCATATGCTGCAATGAATTAGCAAAGGTCTCTATCTTTATTTGTTCCCTGAAAACATTCAGCACTGAGTCTTGTCCCCGTACAGAGATTCCTAAGCACCTAGATCAGGCTGAAGCTATAGCTAGCTACTGAGCCTCAGCTGTAGGGCTCCATTCAGGGTAAATTTAGGAGTAACTGAATCCTCCTCTCTTTGGTACCATTAAAATCATTTTCCATCTTACTTTCACATGTGTATTTGTGTCCTTGACTGCCCCCTGAGTGACTCCAACTAGAATGTTCCCTCTTCTGTTTCCTTCTCAGGTGGGTAAAAGGGTGTGACACTAGAGTGTGTTGGGAGGTTTAGAAAATAAATCTCCTGACTCAGGAGCTCTGATCAGGGAGGGACTGGGTGGAGAAAGGTGGAAGGGATAGGGTGCCTGATCCTGACACAAACTTTAGGCTGAGCTGGCACTATGCTGGGCACTCAGCAGGTATTGAGAAAACTTTAAATTGGGTGATTATGTAATACCACTCTCCCTCTAAGACTATTCAGCACCTAACTTTATTTCTAGGTCCAACTAATTCCTAGAATCCACATGGTACTTCTGCCCTTAAGAGCTAAGCCCAGTACTTGTCCTGCTGGTATAGTGAAAGGACCATTAATCCCTAGCCCTGGGTCTGAGTACTGATTTTTCTACTTACTTGGACAAATTAATTAAGTTTTCTGAGTTTCTTCTTTCTATTGTACAAAATTTCTAATTGTCTGTGTGTGTGTGTGTGTGTGTGTGTGTGTGTGTGTGTAATAAAGGAATTATATAAATGTGAAGTATTATTATTCCTTTTGTTAGGCAAATTCTCATACACTGGGAGGAGAAATTTGGTATATATTTGGTATATATATATATATCTCCCTACTCTCTCCTCTATCCATACCATGCAGTTATAGAGTTATATGTTCATTCTAGGCAGGGGTGTGCTAGAACCAGTCAAAGCAGCTTGTGAGAGCTGATTGTTAAATTTTCAGTGTGAGCATTTACACCCCTGAAATTGGCCATCTCTACAAACCAGACCTTGATTTATTGTTTTGTTAAGTGCCCAGACTTAAGAAAGTAATGGAGTAAATGTTAATAATGCAGATTCAATCTAAAAGCGTGTTCTATGTTTTTGGAGAGCTGGTTGTTAAACATTTACCAAATACACCTCTGATTCTAGGCCAATCTTCTCATTTGATAGATGAATAAACTGAGGCTCAGAGAGGAGAACTAAGTTTTCTGTGGTAGTAGAACATGCTTATTTGATAGCCAAGACTAGGCTTTTCATTACAGCACACTGTCCCTTTATGCCCATTGTTCAATCAATTCCTAATTCTAATACTTTATAGGACTGATATTTCTCTTGGTCAACACTTTGCACTGATTGCCTGCTGTGGGTAGAGTGCTGTTCCTGCCACTACTGAAAAAGAAGGAGACATTGTGGAGGGCATGTCTGCCCTGTGGGATCCTACATCCTACTGCAGAGACAAGGCACAGCCTTCAACAAAGTGGAAAAAGACCCAATTCCAAAGCAGCTTGAAGTGAACCCAGAACTTGGGCACAAAGCACAACATGCAAGTAAAGAAGGTGAAGTTCAAGCAAGGGTGGGAAGGAGTAGGTATTCCACGTGAAGAGAAAACTCATTTTATGAGAGAATGATGGTAAGAATGTTTGAGAGATGAGTAACAGGTTTCTAGGACTTAGCGGAGTACACATGCTAAGTAGTACCTACAAATGAGATCAGTGAGAGTATAGGTGGAGTTAGGGAAGAATTGTTTGATAAATAATTGAGTGTATTAAATCTGGAATCATAGGGCTTAGATTCAAGCCCAACTTATGCCCCTTACTAGTTGAATGACCTTGGGTAAATCACTTTACCTAGCAATGATTTATAAGTACCTTTCCAGTTTAGGCACTATAGCAGGTGATAGAAAATACAATGGTAACCACTAGGTGGCATTCATAGCCACACATTTGATCTTCAGCCAAAAAATGATCTGACACCGGGGTGTGTTATACTCATGATGACATTTATGTGTATGCATCCCACTGGACAGAAACACTGAAGAAGTCTCAAGCTTTCTATGGTTCTCAGGTAGTAGACAGCTTTTTATCTCTCAGTTCTCTCTCCCTCTCTGGCTCCTCCTCTGATTTTCAGCATCAGTACATTATCTAGGATGTGAGGATATGTGCATCTACCTAACCAGAAATCAGCTCTGAACTCCCATCTACTGCTTATCTCCGAACAAGACATATTTCAAAGCCCTGGTCACATGATGTAATTGAGTTGACATTCCACAGAACAGACAGGTACTTAGCATTTTCTCTTTGCATAGGAACAGTAGAAGCAATGAAGAATATATATTAAAACAGATGTGGAGCAGCTGCATACCCACAACTTCTCTCAGACCTCAGAGTCTAAATAGAATCACTCCAAATTCAGTAGATCTAGGAAATACATGCTTTGAATATGTTGAGTTTCCTGCAGCTGCTTCCTTGAAGTGGTCAAAGGAATGAGGACAATACAGTCAGTTTCCACTCAGTGTTCTACTCATGTTTTTGATGGGGCTAGTCTTTTGGTGGTGATGCAGAAATTCTGACCTGGGACTTGTTGCTCTGATACTTGGAGTGTGAAACTCAGGAAACAGTGTAAAGTAGGACTTGTGAAGGTCAGTGCTTTTCTTGGTCTTAGTTGTTTTGTTCTTGGCAGGAAGCTTTGACAGATTCTAGCCTTAGATAGTAGGGTTAATGAGCTTATCAGCCATCTCCAGCATACACATGGCACAGAAATTCCACTCTGAAGTCCTTCTGACCTTAAATGTGTACCCCATTGTCACAACTAGGCTGTCATTAGTCTCTCTCCCCAGGCCAAAGTTCTAAAATTTATCTCAGCAGATTGTGGAAGTCAGGTGAAAATTTGGGGCAGCAGGAAGAGAGTAGCAGCTAGTTAGAGGGCTGCTATACAAAGACAAAAACTAAAAAGTCTCTAAAGTGACTCATGTTCTACTTTCTTGGGTCTCTTCTTAACTTGAATTGAAAAACACTCCATACTTCAACGAATATGGGTTTGCATTGATATGTGTATTCACTTCATTTAATAATTCAGAATGCAATTCATCTGTGCATTGTTCTGTTTGACATTTCAGGGTAAAAGTAGGTGCAAAGGGTAGAAATTGAAAAAAAAGTTCATATTTGGACTTTGTATTTAATTTGTATATACTTGCATGTTTACATGTTGTCTCCCCTGATACCATGTTAGCCTTTTCTTTTCAGGAAGGAATTATTGTCTTTCTTTCTTTGCATCCCCAGGGTCAGCATACCTTCTGACACAGCAAAGAACTTAATGAATGAGGGCTGATTCACGGATTCTTGTCCTTGTTCTTCTGTTAACACTTTGTAGAAGATCTCGCCAATGTACTGGAAGTCTTCGTCTTAGTCTTTTTACATTTCTTGGTTACTAACATAGCATGCAGGCTGTTCACTTCTCACTCTTACTCCATGACCAACCTTCCACCTTTTCCCATCATTTTTTGGTACAAGGGAGGACCAGCACAGGGTCCTACCAACCAAATGTGAGCCAGGCAGGACTTGTAGATGAGGAGCCAGTACCTGCAGTCTATCCTTACTCTCCTTGGAAAGATGATATTCCCCAAAATGAGATCTTGGTTATCATAATTGGACTCCCATGAGTCTATTATCTCTTCTTTCTTATTCCCTGCTCCAGCTAGAGAACTCTAGGCTTATCTGCACTGTCCATGGTACTTAAATCCCCCTTTCTGTGGGCATTCTTGTTTTTATCTTTTTAGCAGGGCAATGCCTTTCCAATTTCTCTATAACTATTAGGAGGTGACAGGGCACAGTGGATTTAGTCAATCTCCTTCCACTCCAGTTGTATTCCTTTCTAATTTATCATATTACTCCCTTGGAATTTGAAAGACATGTCTCCCTATGCCACTGGGCAGTATTTCTCCCATACCACTCAGAGTTCCTGGATGATCAGATACCAGACAACTGTATTAGGCCATCCTAATACCTGAACAATCTTATCCTTCTTTCCACTTTCTTTGTTGCCAAACATGCCCCCTCCCAAAATTGTCTGCACTCAGTCCCTCAGCTTCCTCAATATGAAGTAACTTCAGTTCTTTGCAATCTGGCTTCTGATCTCACTGCTACATAAAATTGTTCTTTCAAATTGTTTCAATAATCTCTTAATTGCTATACCTTATGGCCTTTTCTCAGACTCCATCTCCTTTAGACTTTCAATGACATTCACTGTCACCAAGAACACTCTTCCGAATGTTTTTTCTTCCCTGGTAGTTCATGGTTCCCTCCTGGTTCCTCGATTTGCTTGATTTCTTTTCTCATTTCCTTTGAAGGTTCTTTGTCTTTCTCCTGCCTCCAGTGTGGGTGTCTCTCATGGCTCTGCATTATGTCCTTTTCTCTTTTTACTTCGTCTCTCCACTCCTTAGGGTATAATTCTCACCTCTGCATGGTAGACTTACATGCAGGGGGTATCCCAAAAGATGTGGTGAAATTTTAAGACTTTTCGGACCCCTTGTCCATATATGTATGTATATTTATGAATATGTGTGCATACCTATATCTCCTTCTGTAAAGCCTTCCTTGCTTCCAGTGGAAAATGTTTTTCTCTCTTCAAATTTTCTTGTCAATTTATTTGGATCTTTTCTTTATCACACTCTACCTTGTACCATATTTATTGGTATAGTTGTTATATCCTTCCTAGTTCCTAGCATACACCTTATATATAGTAGGTGCCTGATACATATTTGTTGAGTTTATTTTAATTAGACCACAATGCTGGCTTACTTGATGATCTTGGAAAAGTTGTTAGATCTTGAAAATAACACTTACATGATATTTTATATTTTGCAAAGCATTTTCCTTAAATAATACTCAAGCATAGGTTGCAGAAGCATTGTTCCCATTTTATAAATAAAAAAACTGAAGGTCAAAAAGATTGAATTACTTGCCTCAGGTCAAAACTCTAGTTATAGTCAGAGCAATGACTAGAATCCACTAGACTCTTGAACAGAGTAAAGTTCTTAATCTTTTTGTGTCATAGACCCTTTTGGCAGTCTGGTCAATCCTAGAGACCCTTCCTCAGAATAATGGTTTTAAATAGATAAAGTCA